CACTGCACCAATCCTCCTATCCCACCATCTGCGCTTGATCATGTAACTCGTTACACCATCTGTGCTTAAAAAAGTAGGTAACTACTTCCACTTTTTTGTTACCGCTTAAATATTTCAATCGGATATCAGTTGTAGAGCCATATCTCCTACATTTTTAGGGTCATACTCTCCAAATTTTAAATACAGACTTGCATGTTACTTTTATGTTTTGTACAATCCAAATCTATCCCCATTCCTCCAAGCATTTCTTCAAGTATTTCTTCTAAGTATTTCCTCAAAGTTATTTTCCCAAGTATCTTCTCGGTTCATTCGTTTTATATATAACTTAAATATAAACACCAAATGAATATTGCCTCGCACATATAGACAACTTAAATGACCTTCTGTAGCTCTTCTTCGTCCCTCGCTGATGCTAATCAGACGGACAGAGAGCCAGACAGAGAAGTAAACAGAGACACACATATACAGACAAACATGGGTTTAACTTCTGCATGGTCTGCTGGCTATTCCACGACATTCCCATTATTACCTGAACCCAGTGAGAATGGGAAGGGGCAACAAAGTCGATTTCGATATACCACGCGCAGATCGAGACCAAACACATATCAGGGTATCTCCTAGTCGGGAAGTTTTGTATTTTTGTGATTAGTTAAAATTAATATATCATATCGTTATATGCCATTGAGTTCTGAGTCATTAATGGAGTTGAAAATTTGAAAAGCTGCCATGAATATAATTGATCGTAAATTAAATTGTTTAAGGAAGGTGGGATGGGAGATATATCGTCTGGCTGCTAGATATTAACGAAAGAAGTGGTATCACCTAAATCGGATGTGCGGTCTTTATCAGAACATTATATTGTCAACTATATACGCCTTATATATGGATGGTGATGGCAACACTTTCAGCAACTACCGTGTGGAAACGGAAGAGAACGGCAAGCTTCCCCGGAAAATTTGCAATCTTGTCAAGTTTTGTTTGTTTCTGCTAGTCTGGATGTACTCTTCAGTATATCTTATCACGACTGCGCCGAAAGTGCCAAGTACCTTTCTCGTGCCAGTGCTGCCGTACAGGCAGTATGTGATCAAGTCGAGGGATAGAAAACATCACAGTGATATAGACATTGAGTTTTCCGGTCCCCTCAACAAGAGGCTAATCAAACATCCCGACCAGGCAACCAATTTAGATCCATATATTAAAGTTCAAGTCGAGAGCTTCGATGCGATGGCCAATGAGACAGCACTGGAGTCCCAAGCATGGGTCCTCTTCTTGCTCGCCAATCAGGATGAAATGAGCTACACTATAAAAAAGGAGTTCACACTCAAAAAAAAAAAAAGAAGGCACCCGCAGGACAACCAACCGTCGACAAGCCGCGGGGACTACCACGAGCTCAACGTAATACTCACAAACTACCACAGTGGGGCGTTCGGCCTGTTCGTGGTCATCAATTATAACCCGGTTAGCACGCATGTCGGCGTCGCGGGCGGAATAATGCTACTTATTTTTCTGTATGTGCTGATCATATGGGATCTAGCGGATCGTGCATTTGTGTCTCTGCTCATTTCCATGGGAGGAATGGGACTGCTGTGCATGATGAACGCGCGTCCTCTATTGACCGAATTCTTGAAATGGATCCATCTAGATTGCCTAATGTATGTCTTTCTACTGATGCTAATAGTCAGAATTGTGGATGAGACGGCTGTCTTTGATTTCATAGCGGCGCTCGCATATGGGGCCTCACGTGGCAAGCCCTGGCTACTCGTACTCATTCTGTGCGTCTGCGCTGCGATCTTCTCCGCCTTACTCGACAACGTGACCATGGTATTGTTAATGGGCCCGATTATATTTCGGCTGTGCCATAAATTAGCGCTGTGCACTACAATAGTCCTCATGAGTGTTACGATGTTCGCCAACATTGGAAATGTACTGTCTCCTTTGAATAAGCACTCGATTTTGAAGTTTGATATCGATCCGGCCTTCAAGGCGCAGCACATCACCTATGGCAACTATGTTCTGCACCTAATTCCGGGCGTCATTTTGAGTATGGTGGTTGCCTACGCAGTGCTCTACGGATTTTTTCAGAAATATTTATATAACACGAGTAAAGTATTTGGATCGATATCATCGCTTCAAGTTCGCGCCGACAAATTGAAAAAAGTCGGTGCTCATCTAAGTCAGTATCAGAACAATCGTATTACGCAGCTGAGGAGGATTGAGAATGTGCAGCCCGAAGAGAGAAAGAATGTGGACTTTCAGTTAGTCCTGTCCGACTTAAAGGCCAATTGTATCGTGACGAATTTGCCGCTGCTCATTGGGTGCTGTATATCCCTGGCCGTTCTTTTTGTCCTCTGCCTGCCCACAATAGATAACACTCTCCACCATTTGGAACCAAGCTGGATAGCACTGTTCGCCACAATGCTGCTGCTCATCTTGGGCAACCTGCAGGAGCTCGACGTACTATTGGCGCGGATTGATTGGAGGTCTCTAATATTCATCGCTGCACTGCTGGTGCTATTCAAATCGATTCGCTACCTGGGTATCGATTACTGGACGATCAACGTGATTCACAACCTTGTGTGCAATACCAGAAAGGACCGACAGCTAGCCGTCAGCATCTTAGTGCTAACCGCGGTGGCAGCCATTGAGTCCGCCGTTATGCCTAACATGGTGATAAAATCATTGATGGTCACCGAGGCCATCAACTTGAGCGCCAGCTGCGATTTGCCCTTTGCACCGCTCCTGTGGTCCATCGCCTATGGCTCTTCTTTCGGCGAAAATTCCAACTTAATCTGTTCCTTGGCCAATGTGATAGCAGCAGGACTTGCCCACCAAGAAGGCTACCGATATACGTATAAAAATTTCTTTATCATCGGCTTTCCTGTAACACTGGCGACCTTGTTGATCTCAACTATGTATCTAATGTTCGCACATCTAGTTTTTAACTGGCATGGCACTTCGGTACAGTCTTAGCTTCCACTTTTATTTATGGACTCTCATAAACAAAAATACCTCATTTCATCTACAAAAATATCGTGCTCCTATGCCATGTCCCAGGACTTGTTGATCTCAATTGGTCTAATTGGGAACAGAAACGTATTTTTCCCACCCGCTACCTTCTATTATTGGGATAACTGTTATACAATTATCCCAACCGTTCGCAAATTTTTTCTAAATGAGATACTTGTTATATTATAAATCAGATTTTTGGAATATCATCGAAATTGGATCACTGTCCAAATGCATCAAGCAACTAAAATGGAAACAGGAAACGTATTTGTACCACTTAGTATATCTTGTAAGGCAGATAACTTTTACACAGCGATTTGAGTCATTTATTATTGTAATAACTATTGTAAAACTAGACAAACTGTTCGCACATCTCTTCAGACATGGATAACAGTTTTACCACTAATAAAATTGTTCGAATGTCTTTTGTAAAAAATCCTGAAATCTGTATTTTTCTCGTCATTTTAACGGTAATTACAAACAATTTATCTGCGTAACGTTCGTTTGGGACACATAAAATGTGGAGCAACATGCGGGCAATAAATAAACCAAGCTAAACTGCTCTCCAGATAAGCCGAAAATGTTTGTATTGTTCGCTAGTTTTGTTTTTGCTTTAGCTGCGTTATGCTTGGCTGTGTAATTCCTTGTGGCCATTGTTTTGGCCCTCAGCTCCTAGCCTCTTGGCCAATCAATCAAACGAATGTCAATGGGCGACGGCATGCGAACAGCCACAGGCGTGCGCGCAGCTCCCAAAGTGCATATCCATAAAATCAATAAACACATTTTTTTCCAGTGCACGCCGTCTCATTTCAACAATCAGTCAAATGCGACTGAAAACTACATTTGTTTGTTTTTTGTTTGTTTTTGTTTTGCCATTCGGGCAGGGATTTTGATGGCTTTCGTTTGTTGTCTTGCGACGTAAATTGCTGCGCTCACATGTGCTCCGAGCCTGGTAGTTTGGCCATAAATCTTTGCACTGCCAACATAAGATTCCCAAATTTGTGGCATCTGTAGAAGAATTTTTTTGTTTTTGCCAAATATTCTTGCATTTGTGAAGTGATCAGAGCAAAGTTAAAGTTTTTGTATGCCTCTGCCGTGATTGATGAGTCCTTAAACATTCAAGTGGACATAAGAAAAAGGGTTCTCGTATATATGTTTTATAATAATACTCAAATTCAAAGAGTTATAGAATAACAGCTAAAATGTGTGTTGACTTATCGACATTCATGAGATTTGCATAGAACGGCAGCATATCTTATATTCAAAGCTTTAAAGAGGATATTAGTACAGAATGACTCAGTTTTATATTGTAAATGTAGGGAAATTGAATTTGTTTTCTCTCACTCGCCGACCGTTTACTGTATGTAGAGATTATGGGGCATTATAACGTTGGCAGTGGAGTGGTATTTGACCTTGGCAAGGGTAAAACAAGAGGCTTACTTAATTACTGAAGCGGCTCTAATTTAATTTCACACAAACAGCACAAACATTCGGCCTGAATTTTTGGGCCGCTTTTAAAATGAAATATTTATACGCAAAACAAAAGAAAGTGACCAGCTAATGAGTGCCATATTCTTCAACTCACTCGCTTGCTGTCTCTCTCTCTCTCTCTTTCACTATCTTCATCTCTCTCTCTTTATGCCTTGGCTTGAGTCCCACCTCAAAACTTCAGTGGCATTCTGTCAGTGACAGGCTGGAGAGGAACTGACACTGAGAAATTGCACCCATGAAATTAAAAATAACTCAAGCGAAACGCTTGAAAACAAAAGCGTTGGCAATTTATGAAACCGACTGGTTCCTAAATAATAACAATAAAGAAGAAAAAAGAAAAAGAGAACAATACAAAACTGCGCGCCGTTCCATTAAACAAAAGGCTTAAGATTGGTTAACCCGAAGACACGTGAGCAATTGTTGTCGTTCTTTGGGAGGACACCAGGGCGAAAGCTAGCGAGAGAATTGGTTAGCTCGTTGATTTATCATCGACAGAGTTGGCACTAGGACTAACCCACGGTCAGAGCCCGACCACATCTAATTCAATAACCGAGCAGTAACGAATGCCGGCGAGCAACTACGCCCAACAAATGCCAGTAAATTGTGATATAAATCACAAAAATTTCCCACGTCGGCGACTGACAGTCGAAGCAACGAGGAATCGATGCCCCTGTAGCTGAGCTATGGAATTTTTGAGGAACAATACCCAAAATATTTGTTAGAACTTTGTTGCCCTGCCTACTGCCATACCAAAATCGAAAAAAGAAAAAAATAAGTACATACATTGCAGTCGGGCAATACTGACTGCAGCATACTCATTCACGGTTCAAATTGTTCTATACCATATTTTCCTATTACCATACACCATATCGCTTTATTACATACACACATATACATATATTAATCTTAGTAAAGTTAATAGATTCAATTGTTAAATATTAACTTTCTAGCTGATTCGTTATTATATAACGATTATAATCAGAACATGTTAATCAAAAGTGTAATCGAAGATGATAAACGAAAAGTCACTATCGACTCACTACGCCTCTGCGTCGACCTTGACAAATAATAACATATAAATCATGATATATGTATACCTGGTAGGATTATTGGCACTCAGACAAATATATAATATTGCGTTGTTCTTAAAATTATTTTATACTTTCATACCTATTTTATACTTCATACCTCACTTTACCAACTGTTAAGGGGTATTTTTCACGTAAGCGGAGTTGGGCCATCTCGACAGGCGGTCTCAACCATTCGTTTGCGAGCAAACGAGCTTTCTTTGTGTTCATCTGGAATGGTTAGAAGTTTGAGTAATTGTAAACGACTTTTAAACTAACTCGATTCACTAAATTGTTATCTTGTGAGAAATAGGGAGCGCAATTAAGCCAAAGATTACAAGTTAATAGACCTGACATTGTTTGCAACTTTAATTTATGGCTATACATAACGGGCTCCTTGATGAATGTGGCAGAAATAAAATTGAATTAAATCGTGCAAAAAATGAATAATAAATAAATTGTGCTATGCACCATGGGCAATGAGGCGTATGTGCAATGCACCCCAAAAAATGTAATTAAAAGTTGCAGCAAATAAATAAAATACGTATATGCATGGCGGGGAGTCTATCACGGATATCTGGGCAAGCCACAAGTTTGACAGTTCCAAATTGCAAGCTGCAGCTAACTTAAATGGACTTTGGCAAATATCTACAAAATGATTTATTTTGCTTTCAAAAGTTCAAAATGTAATTCTTCGAGTTTGCAACCCAACCATATGCATATATGAATATTTGTCTGTAAAAGTGAAGTTAGGTAAGCTCTCGATAGGACTTTACTTTAAGGTTTTCAGAAATTTGTGAGCAAATCCTGTGAAAATGATGGGCAAATCTCTTGGATATGTTAATGCCTTTAACGAAATTAATACGAATTATGATTCTTTATTCGTTAAAAGGATCCGAATAGGGGCAGCTCATTGCATACAAATTCATTTAATTTTTGTTCTTTTTTTTTAATTTCTTAACTTAAAACATGAATACAAATAAGATTAAAATAGTCGCTAGTTGGAAAAGGATAATTTTTCCTTAGGCAGTTGTTTCGATATTTGATTATATTACATTGACTTAAATGGAGTTATCAAAATCTCTGCTCAGCTTGATTCATTTTAATTCAGAACTTCAAGGTCTATTTTTCCCGACTTACTTTTCGAGAATGATTTCTAAGAGACCTAACAAAAATTCTGATGTTTATTCGCATTGTCGAAATCTTCTTACTATTCTAACTGCGTATGTGTATTATTTTATTATTCTTATTATGTACAATTTTTTGTTATTTTTTTTTTTTTATATTATTATTTAACACTTTCCAAATTATTTTTATTATCTGAGCTTCAATTAGAGAATAAAAAATTCGGTTAGAACAAGTCTTCATTTAGCTATAATTTTCTATGCCTCTTCGATATTTTGTATGTTTTATTATCATTCAAAATGTGTGGAAAACACGTCGCCTACATATTATTTTAGGAGAATCACTCTGAATAATGTTAATAGCCAAAAGTTGAGCTCTATTTGCATATTTCACAAAAAAAATTGACTGACACTGCAAAATGAAATATAAATATATTTATTCATTTCAAGTGAAATGAGTATATTCAAATTTCTTTTTCGGTAGTGATTGTAAAGCTGGAACTCAACATCTCAATCTCACAGAGCTAGTAAAAGATCTAAAGCGATATTTAAAAAAAAAAATTTTTTTTCAAACTAGTTCAAACTTCATTTGCGTATTCCCCTTATGAGAGTGTCAAATTTGATTTTGATTTGGCATCTCTGATTTAAGCGCCGCACTCGTCGCAACTGATTCAATAACTCGACCGTCTGTGACCAATAAACGTGACTTGCCAAGCCACGTTGCTTGGTTTTCTCAAAATGTTCTCTCTTTATGTAAATATGGGACTGGGCCGCATCGGTTTGTCTCTGGCTTGTTTGCTGTATTGTTGCAGCTCAGCTTTTGGCAGATGGGGCACTGCACTAATACGAGCACACACTCGCACAGACACAGATACACACGTACGCACTTAAATAACAGTCGCATGCGGCCTTCTGTTATGAGCATACATTTCGAGCAATTTGTCTACGTTGAAGGCCAGTGTTTATGCTTGTGCTGGCTTATCTCAATGCCAAGCCTGTTGGATAGAAATCTCTATGCAGAATACAATATCACAGATTAAATTTTACTGAATTCAATTGAATTGAAAAAAAAAAAAACTTTACAGAATGTGATATATGCAAAATACAGCTCAGAAAGGTATAAAAAGCATTCAAATATAATATAGACAGAGCTTCCAGAGCACAGTATATTAAAAAATCCTTAAAAATTAGGATGTAGCTCTATTTGAAATAATGTAATTTATAAGAACTGTAACTAATAGAAAGGAGGTCAGAGAACTAGTTCGCGTTGTACAAGACATTG